TCTCTCGTTACTCGAGCTCTAAGAGCTGGCCCAATGCTATCACCTGTTGACAATCGGACGCCTACGAATTCGCCCGCGTATCGCGCGATCGTGTTTCTCCCCTTCTCGGTATCCTCTTTTTTCTTCATGTCGACACGAAGTTTGACACGGTGTTTCCGATAAAAATTAAAGAGAAATTTCTTTTCACGCCAAAAACAGTCAATGTGAGACAATGTGAAATGGACAATATTTAATATCAATATTAATATCAATATTTAATAAATTTCTCGGTAATGATGCATCAATATTTATTATGTAGGGTGGCCCCGAACGTTCTGGCTGGACTTTGAAATTTTCTAGAAAATTCGATTTTCAAAGTTTCCCTTTTTGTAAATGACAAAATTCCAAGGTTATACCGAGAGAGAGACTCTGACTCATGCGACTTTTGGATTTAAGAAAATATATTAAAGTGTCAACCTGACATAGGTAAAAATAAATGATCTTCCACTGACTTCACAATTTTTAGAACTTAATAATTTTTCATTTTAGATGATTTCTTTTATCTTTATGCGTTTGACTTTAGTCATTACTGAAATTTACTGCTTCCGGTGTGTTTCGATATGTTATTTTAGAGAGTCGGTCGTTTTCCGCAGCCGCTGCCGCGCCGCATGAGCACTGACGAAAGACTCGGTTTCGCGCCGCAAAGAGACGCACGAGAATCGATGTGCGTCGCGAGAGGAGCGTAATCGCGAAACCAAAGGTCTCGGTTTCCGAACGCCGGTCGGATATATGAATGAACGCGAGCGCGGCACGAGACGGCGCGACCGGCCCGTTCGTTCGGGTAGAAGGAGATCGATCGCGGGGGGTCGTTCGGGATTCTGGTTTTCGAGTGCGTCTGTGCCGGGACGTACAAAGAGCTTTCTCATATCGTACGGTGGATGCGCCGCGCATCGCCGATGCACACATCCGCGCGCGTATACGCGATCCCGATATACGCGCGCGCTCGCGCGCACATTCGATAGGCGAAGATAGCTCCGCGCGTACGCTCCTACGTGTGTGCGTGTGCACGCGCGCCGTGTGTGTGTGTGAGTAGATACGTATACGCGAGAAGCCTAGGAAAGCCCGGTGCCACAAAGGCAGTGCGCCATCGAGTATCGCAAACATTGATTTGAATCACAAAGACCGCCCGCGGTATCCCATTGTCGGACTCCGACTTATTGTATGTTCTCTCTCTCTC